CCCACCCAGACCCGACTCAGGCCCTGCGGCGCACAGAAATGGTTCAGGCCACCAGCCCACAGCTCCGAGCGTTGTGCACGTGTGAATCAGATTATCCGTAACAAAAAATACGGGCTGAGAAGGGAAAGAGGGAAAACGTCGCGCCTTCCTGCACGCATCCGCTCGCACACACGCGTTCTCAAGCCCCGAGGCGCAGAAGGCGAGCCTTAAGACACGCGCCCACATAACCCCCCTCCCGACTTTCTCCACACGTGTGAAAACATGGGCTTGGGGGTGGGGAGCGCAAGGGCTGGGTTAGGGAGCCTGTCCGCACGAAGCGCACAGCAAAGGCCGGTAACGCGGTCTGCACGTGCGAATCAGATGGTTATAGGACACGGATCGCCTCTGCACGTATGAATGAAGCTATTATTGGGGAGAGAGCGAGAGAGAGAGAGAGAGATTCGGGCCCCTCCTACCTTGCCTGGTGGAGACGTTGCGCTCGTTCCCGGCGCGGAGGACGACCTGGGGGCAGCTCTGCTCCAGGACAAACATCTCGTCCTTGCCCACCTTGGCGCTCTTGCCGGCCTTGAGGGTCCCGCTGGGGCCCGAGGGGGCCAGGTAGCGGCCCTCCACGTCGCGGAAGGCCACCTTGCCGGCGCGGAACTCCAGCGTGTAGCCGGTGCGCGCCTCGGGCCGCTCCACCAGCTGCCCGTCGTTGCGCAGGAAGCGGTGGTCGGCCGTCTGGAGGCCGTAGCGCTGCTCCTGGAAGAAGAGGGTGACCAGCGAGTCGGTGCCCCAGGGCACCCCGAGGGGGCCAGGTAGCGGCCCTCCACGTCGCGGAAGGCCACCTTGCCGGCGCGGAACTCCAGCGTGTAGCCGGTGCGCGCCTCGGGCCGCTCCACCAGCTGCCCGTCGTTGCGCAGGAAGCGGTGGTCGGCCGTCTGGAGGCCGTAGCGCTGCTCCTGGAAGAAGAGGGTGACCAGCGAGTCGGTGCCCCAGGGCACGGCACGGTCCACCGCCACCTCGCCCGGCGGCAGCGGCGCGCCTCCGCTCTTCCTTAGTAAAATGTTGGACGCTTTCCAACCTGATGGTCCCATCTTCCAGCGTCGTATCTTTTAGCCTTTTGTTCCTGGTCATGGGGCTTTCTTGGCAAAGATACTGGAGTGGCTTGCAACTGCCTGCTCCAGGTGGATTGTGTTTAGCTGGAACTCTCCACTATGACCTGTCCGTCTTGGGTGGCCCTGCACACCATAGCCCATAGCTTCACTGAGTTACTCAAGCCTCTTTGCCACAACAAGGCAGCAATCCATGAAGGGGTAATTTCAGAGGGGCATGATGCAAATCTCTCATTCATGTTCCAAGAAAAACGGCACCTGCAGAATTTTCTCTCTCTCTTTTTGTCTCTCTCTTTCATACACACACACACACGCGAGCGAGGGGGAAGAAAAAGGCGCAGGGAGGACCAGAGGCGCCGGGGCGAGGCTGGCCGGGGAAGGCGTCCACACAGGCGGGCGCGCACCGCTCCGGAGTTGGCGGGTGGGGGGTGGAAGGCTCGGCT